GATTTGCAGAAAGGCTTAGTGTTATTCTGCCATCTGTTTAAAACTATACCTGTCTTAGCTCCAAAAGAAATAAGAATTTGAGTCCTCTCCAATGTTTGTATTTTTGAGATAGCCTCCTTAGTGGATTTAAGTCACGACGCCTGACAACCTGTTTCAAATAACCCCAATTTACTGTAGTATTTTTAGTCTAGAACACGCTGCCTGCAGGCAAACCGAGACAGGATTTGATTACAGCACACAGAGTTATAAGATAATGACAGTTCTGATTATTGACTAGTGATCCATTCTTGTCAGAGGGCTCCAGTTTTGAGGTTAGCATTCAGACAGGAAGGGAAACTCAAAGCTTGGTTACTTGACATGAAAACATTTCATCTAATTTTGGAGCTCTTTTAGAAAATCTTTGGCAAGTCCACTGTTAAAATACACAGCACACAGTTAATGTGCTTTGCGAAAAGCAGAGTCAATGTCATGGTAAAAGAAATTTAATCAGTTAAAACATTTTCAGTTCAGTGAGTAGTGTGTAATGAACAGGCTTAGTGAGCAGGAATTTTATGGGCTGTGATTTTCAAAGAAAACCTTTGCCAGTGTAATTATAGAATTAAAGGAGTGGAGGCAAAGTGTCAATGTGAAATGTGCTGGGCGTCGGAAAAATGTGTGTTTGTATGCGTGTCTTTTCAAGAGCAACAACAGAAATCCTTGTGAAAAAAAAAAACACTTTGTTTGTAAACCATAAATATTTCAAATCCCCCTGAAAGGTGATGACAGCCGACCTCAAAGTCTATAGAAACCATGTCTTTTTCTCAAAAACATATGAATATAGTGTTCTATAACTGACAGCTGAGTCAGTTTTCAACAGTGCATTGTTGAAAATGTTAACAAGTGTTACAAGGTCAGTTGTGTTGGGTTGGTTTTTCTGAAGCACTTCAGTGAACAGCTGTAGAGAAAGAACTGAGCAAGATACACAGTGCCACCTACTGTAGTAAATGGGGAAATCTTTTGGCTACCCTTATCTCTCCCTCTCATTATTTAGCTTGTACATCCTTGACTCCTTTCCTGGACTCCTCTAGAGTGCAGTCTAGGAAGCAAACATTTAATAAAATGAGTCATCCTTTGCTTACAGCTTTTTCTTCAAAGCATTGTCAATTAAATACGACATGTGGTGCAGCTGCATCATCTGTCAGCTGTTTTGTTACAGCCTGCTGCTGCATTTTATGATCTCTGTCAGATAACAATAACCGTGTTCATGACAACCCACAGAATATATTTACTTTTAACTTAATTCACAAAATGACTCATCAGTCCTGCTCCTGACGTGGCATGTATGCTCCAGCTGTGTGTCACGCTTTTTTTGTTGTTGTTGTTGTCTAGCGTGTTCAAGACTTACACAAAGGATCCAATAAGAACACGCCTGTGTGTCTCCTCTCATAGCTCCTCTGGCAAGCCTCCTCTCTCCTGAAGATGCATTTTGAGGAATAAGACATCATCATGATGGCACACCAAGATTAATTTCCAAGTCACAGGCAGGAAGACAGAGGAGACGAGGAGGCTCAATTTAGCAAAATGAGGTTGATGAGCCTTTAGTCCCTTGATTACCAGCCAAATAACCGCAAAGATTATTTATTACTACTGTGACTTGTCACGGCAGGATCCAGGAACTAGCATACCAGGATTGAATATAGCCATCATTTCCATGTGAGTAACATTGCTTTTCCTAGTATGTCAACATTTGTGCTGTGGGAAAAGGCTTATGGATCGAGCGCTTACTCTCGTATTTTTAACTCCTATCAATATCACTGATGGGCAGTTAGCACTGCTCCAATACAGGAACAATTTGGGGTCCTTTGTCAAGGACACTGTGACATGTGGACAACAAGAGCCAGACCTCCACCCATCCATCTATCCTTCCATTATCTATACACCGCTTTATCCTCTGTAGTGTCACAGGGGCCTGAAGCTGACTTAGGGCAAAGGCAGGATACACCATAGACAGGTCGTCAGTCTACCACAGGTCCAAGCAGAGAAACTGATAGAACTCCACCCAGCAACCCAAAAAGTTCTGGCTCAACTACCTTTCCCATCTGAACTAATGATTCTCAAATTTCACATACATACACAACATAGTCCCAAAGCTTAACCCACAATTTACTCCCAAAGTCAACAAAGATATTGTCAAGTTTTTATTGTCAATAAAATTTTCAAAAATCATATCAGAAAACAATGATGATAAAACAACAAATGTCTATGTATATTCAATGCATTCTAAAATATGGCCAGAAGCGCTCTATAGAGCTGATACAGGTTGCACAGGTGACCAAACATTTTAGAACTTGCTTTCTAAAATGTGTCTCTATTAATTGCAAATTGCACACATCACAAAACCACAGGGTTAGACATCACACTTGATCTATTGCAGATTTTATTACTTCCTGGGGAAATAACAGACAAAAATCTACTGGATTAATTGTATACACTTTCAGGTTTTCCTGAGTACTGCACACCAACATCAGTTCTAATAAAGTCTGGACAGCTTGTGCCCTTAGTGATTTGATGAGTGTCGGGAGTCTGTAATAATGTCAGTGAGTCATAGAAGACACTGAATCAAAATATATATTTAAAAAAAAATCCCATTTAAAGGGCTGTGTTGGGTAAGGGTCAACTACAAGCTACTGATCCCATTTTCAAAAGCAGTTTTAGGTAGAGGAACACTCTACGATGGTGAAATATAGCCGACTGCTGTCAGACAGTTGAAAAGATTGATATCAGTTGCAGTGGGATGTTCTTGGCCTAGTTGTGCACAAAGTCTGGAAGCAGAGGGTAGATAGATAGCCTGGCTCTGACAAAGCCCAAATAACATGTTTTCCAATAACTCTGAAGATGTTTGACAGAGCAGTTTGCTGACAGGATGGGGCTGGAGAACAACCCCTGGGCAAAGTCACAGAAGAAATTGTTGGAATAATCTCATCTGATTGTGGGCAAACAGATGGAAAACAAGCATTATTTCAAGATTTGTATTGAGACAGAAGACTGTATATAGAAGATGGACAGAGCCGCCAAGTCAGAAAGTGAAACTACAGCAGAAGTAACCTAAACCTGCATTCTTTCTAAAGACCAGCAGGGCGGCGACTCTTCTAGTTGCAAAAAGAGGTTTCTTTGTATAGTCATGTATAGGTTTTTTTCAAACAACTCTGCTTCTCACTTGATTTATTACTCAATAAACATTCTCCTAATGAGCTCATGGTGTCAATCACTAGTTTCAAGTCTCCTTCAGTGCATCATGGTGGTAAATTTGTGATCCCATTTAGAGGAAAACAGACATTACCTTGCTACAGGTGTGCATAGTCTCCTGGAATTCTCTGCCAGATCCACTGATCACTAGTTACCTCTAGTTTTAAAAAACCAAGGTGGCTAGAGTGAAAAATGTCAAACTTGAGGCTTTAAAACTGTAGTCCACACACCAAAGTCCATCTTTTATATATAAGCCATGATTCAAACGGATTTTTCTTTATTGATATTTTCATAAGTTGTCACTGTTGTAACGGCCGGACACGTTTTCTGACACCAAGTATTCCAGCAAGCAATCTTTGTAGTGTTTTTCAAAAATATTTGTTATTAAAATCCATTATGTTTTCTTATTTTACTACCCACCAACATAAAAACAAGATATAAAGGGATAGAGAGTGAAGTATGGATTAAGGCCCCTGGGCAGAACACCAGAGAAGCATTTTCTGAGTTCATACCAGGTACATTTAAAAATAATGTGCACTCCATCAAATTCTTTATATGTGCTGCCCCTCGGGTTTCTAGCTTGTTCCTGATATGGACATGTGATATTCCTTCTGGTATGCTTTGTTCTTGAACATGTCTGATCTCTGCATGTCTTATAGCTACATTAAAAAAAGTATATATTTCAGTGTTTGCGGTGAGGCTGCCTTAAGTCTTTGGATTTACATTTGCATTGCAGAAGCGAGTGAGAACGTCTATTTTTTCATGTCCACTTGATTTGCTTCATTATGCTCTTTGATGGAAGCTGGAAATGTTCCATTAAGATAAATGAAACTGGCACCAGCCATTTGCTGCCTTTGAAGACAATGGTGCATTACTTTTGCTAAGCGTGACTCAGACCACACTTTTCTTAGAGAACATATAATGGTAAGAAATCACTTATATCACCAGAGGCTGCACAAGTGAGATCCAGATGTATGTTGTTGTGCAGCTGTGTAGCTGTCTACCGACCTAAAATGAAATAAAAACTTTGTCTGTAAATGAGTATCCCTGCTTTTTCGAGGTAAACCTAAAAATGCAGCCACACTGATTTGTCATCATCCATGTATGGTTTTTTTTTTTGTTAAAAGTATGTAAATGTCACTCAGGACTGATGTGTCCTTCTCTGTGCCAACATTTTGATTAGCAAAACTTTTTTTTTTTTTTTTTTAAATCCTTTGAAGATATGTTGTCTATTTAGCAAGGGGAAATTAGCAGCAGCAGAACGACTGAAGTTTCCTTTTGTTGCCATTAATAAATATGCTTATTGAATAAGCTAAACAGAAAATGTGTCACAGTAACAACAAACCAAGTTAGACAGTGACCGTCTATTTCTCTCTGTTTAGTGACTGATCAGTGTGGCTGTCGTCAACAACATGGCTGCCATTGTGTGCATACTGAACAAAGTGTTTGTGAAGAATTGAAACTCTCCTATTCCGTACTTGTGAATTTGCACATTTCCACACTGTGTGTGTCATTTGTTGTTGGCATTTGTTTCATTTGAAAGACAAAACATCTAACATTCACAAGAAAAAAATACACATATCTTTCTAAAGTGTTCACTTCTTCCCAATTAAAAAAAAGAAGAAGAAGAAAAAACAAAACAAAACATGGAATAGGGTATCTAGTATAAAAACAGGCAGGAAAATGTTATCCAGTCGGTCTGCTTCATAAGACCTGATAAAAGCGGGTCATGCACCTTTATGTTAGGCCCTCCTTGAGAACTCAGATTGAAGGGATCAGTACTCCCAGAGAGAAGATGCATCGACAGATGGGCCATCCCCCATAAGTATGCCTCCCTGATCTCCACGGAGGTACTTTCCATTGGAGCCCTTGATGGCGACACGTCCATGTTCCAGGAACTCAAGGAAAAAGTCCTCGGACTTTTCTCCATCTGAGCACACTAGGCCACTGCTAGAGACATACCAGAACTTTCCATTCACACCTGCAGATAAATGTCACTTGATTATAATTCGGCCATTTGCTTAAGAAAGCAGTAGATGCATCATGTTTATACATGCAAATATATATTGTGTACAATACACTGACTTTTTATGTTGTAGGCGCCGTCATTGAAGATCAGTGAGAAGATGTCATAAATAGAACGATTTGCATCTAAAGTGTTGGAGTTCTTGTGGTGACACACAAAGCCGTTCTCTCCATGGAGGATCAGCATCGGGCGATTGATGAGCTTCATCAAGAATAGTTCGTCATCACCTGCAATGTTGGATAAATATTGCTCATCTGGTGTTAAGGGGTCGACAAACTCGTAGGCTATCTGTGGTGGAAATATCAAACAAACACAGTAGTGAATCCCAAGGGGCTTGTCTGAAAGCACTTACCCACTGTATCGCTGACCGCTGAGAGCTGCCCATTCTTCTTTGTGCACACATACTTTCCATTACTTGCTTTGAGCGCTACTCTCTGTCCTCGCCACTCAATGTCAAACATTGTGTTGACCTCACTGAGATGAAAAAAAGACAAAGGTGAACAGGTGAGGAGGTTCAGGTGAGAAGACTGGGGGTGGGTAGATAGCTGGATAGGTAGATGGATGGATAGATATATACTGGCTGAAGGCTAAGTTATATAAATATATATAGTACAATTTAAATCAATACAGTAGCACAACAGAATAAAGACTAGCAACTGAACCACAAGTGTGTTGAATACACACTATACAATAAGAACAGTATATTATAACAAAGTGTATATTTGTGCAATTGAGAGCTAAGAGGTGTTGCTGCAGCAAGAACATTTAAAAAAAAAGAAAAAAAAAAGAAAACTCTTCTTTTGTAGCTAAAAGATTAACTTACACTTCTGTGGCAGTGGACTGGATCTCTCCGTGAGACACTAGCGTCCAGTATGATCCGCCATTGGTCCTAAACATAGACTTTTTGCTCTCCTTATCTATCTCCATCTGGAAGGTCTCCATATCTGTCTCCACATCCTGATTGGCTGAAATGCTCACTCCTGGCAATAAGGGAAGAAGAGACAGCATTGACAATTGTGCCTTTGTGTAATAGAATGTATGGATTACAGTGTTGCATCCTCTTGAATGCCATTTGCCTCTCCTTGAATGTAATGTGCTCATTCAATAAGGAGAGACGTGTGCATAATAGTAATCTAGCATTAAATACATCCATGCCGTCTCTGTTGTTGCACCATGGTTGTGAATGTGCTATTTACAGTGACCCATTCAAGGCTTCTGTCTCCTCATATAGGCACCTGGTCTTCTTTGGTCACCCAACATGTATATTTGCTGTATTGTAAGTTGTTGGTATAATTATATGTTTACAGTAATTTCATCCTCCTGAATTGTTTTGGTTGCTTGGTTTTCTACAATGTAGTCATTGGTTCTAGAAACCAAATGTTACAGCTGTTATCCATCTTAGTGGATGAAGGTGTCATAATGTGTCACACACGGATGTATTCGCAGTCAGCAATATGGCTGAGCATTCCTGCCTTCAAGCTGCAGTCTACCGATGACACGTCTCAAAAACACAGATTCAGACATCTGGAGTTTCATTCTGAACCTAGGAAAGCAATCGTGAGGCTTTCTGTATAATTGTTCTTCACAACCGATATCCTGTTTTATGGACTTTCTCTATTGTGTAGTGCAGAGCAGTGTTCCACTGTTCCTGCAGTGTCATAAGTGAGCTGGTGTGCTTGAGCAAGCAGCGAAGGGGTGGCTGGAGAAAGAGGACTTTATAGATCTGCATATTCTTGGCTTACATCTGTGCCATTTAAAGGCATAAAGGGATTGTTTTCATGGGGAAAATGTCAGTGGTCATTTGTTTTGGTTTTGTGAAAAATATTTCTTAAGCCTTAAACATGCAGACATTATTTGATCAGTTGTAAGAAGCAAAAGTCAATCAGTTTGCATTTTAGAAGTCAATTGCGCTGCAGCATTTGTTGAGGTTTCACTGTTATTTCACCCACCATGAAAACATTTCATCTCTGGAATGGACTGTATTTCACCTTTGAAGTTTATAGGGGTTGACCCAAAAAGATGATTAGATGATCATGTTAAATAACTACCTTGATTTGAAGCCATGGACAAGCCTTGGATGTGCATGCCTTGTTTTCTGAATGCTTGCTTTTAAGCAAATTTCATATGAACAACTGAAGCCATCTGTTTTGCATCCAAATGCAATCTTGCACACAACATCATATCAAATAAAGATTGAGGCTAAAGACAGAACTTTCATTAGTACCCAGTTCTCTAAACACAAACACCTCACTTGCAGTCAGTCTGGTGTTACATACGTAATCCACATGTATAAACTCTGTCTAGTGTGGTGGTGGGGAATACACAGACAGATATAACTGAACTGTGTCTGCTGTAGTTCAAATTAGATGCCACCGAAATATCCTTCAACCTTTCTCTTAATCCCGTTACAACCCTAATCCCCCATAGTCACCCCTCCACCCTTCCTGTTCATTCGCTTGCTGTAATTCCCTGAGTGGTGAAATGCAAATCTGCACTGCAGGGCCCACTAAGCAGCTTTCAGTGCCTTGTTCCTTAAAAAACGTGGCACTACCACAAGGCCAAACACTACAGTTGAGAATAAAAGTCTTTGCCCTATATTATGAGGATGGAGTGCCAAGTTGCTGAAATATTGCCCTGATAATGACTTTTTTTTTCATGCAGAATGCTTTTCTTGCATAAGAATAGTAATGAGTGCCGATTGAAATTGGTCTAAGAAGCCCTTGTGCTGTAGTAGTGCATGTGCATTGGAGAGATAGTTTACAACTACAACAGTTTGAAGGTCATATAATAAGTAAGAATTGTGGTTTTAATTGATTTTAAAGCTTTAAAAACCTGCAACAGAGCACAGTTTGCTTCCTAGTCGTCCCATGGTTATATAATTATACAGGACAGAGCAGACCACATCATGCACACTGAAAAGAGATCATGTAACTGATCTGTCTGGAAAGGCTGTAGCTGCTGCCACTTTACTGCCACTGTATAGGACTATAGATCAACATAATTTGGAGAACTTCACTCGATGGATGACGGTAAAGTGCGAGTAGCTGCTTGGCTTAAGCCCATTGATGGTAATTGACACCCCTGGGGCACAGATCTGCCCTGAAGTCATTTGCACACTGCTTAATCTTCAATGGACACACAGTGAAAATGACAAAGCCCATTACCACAATTACCTCCACATTGTGGCTGTCAACCATTCCATCCAGCATGAAGACAGGAAAATTTCATTCATCATCTGGCAAATGTAACCGACTGATGTTTTCATTGCGTTAATCTAACTATAAAGATGAAGAAAAATAAACCAAGGCCATCTTAAGTTGTTACGAAGCCCTCATTACTGTAGACTGTGTAATATTTGATTCTACTTGACATCTACAACAGCCAGCAGTGGTTCTGCTCCGCTCAGGAAAGCAAAGTATTTGTGAAAGGGTACACAATGTACGCTGTGGTGCTTCGCTGTCTAGGTATTTCATTTGGGCCAGCCTCAATACCTAAAGCTGCAAAAAGTAACAGTCTGTGTTGCCATCCGGGTTCAGTTTTGGAATAACTTTACAAAAACAGGAGGAATTGAGAAATACATGAAAACAGAATGCTGGATGGATCCAGAATGTTGAACTAAATCAAGGACAACCACTGATCTCAAAACAACTGTACCTGAAAGATGAACCCAAAACATTTGTCTTTCCAAGACATTGGCGAGGAGTACTTTTAAAAGGGCGTGCATGATGTATTCAAAATTTAGGCTGCTTTTTTGCCTCTTTGGGATCTGAAAATAGTCTCACCTAGTCTCGTGTGCAGCAAAGTGCACAAGTCAAGTCCCCTTTATTTATGTAGCACACAGATTGACCCCAAAACTTACAGCAGCTGCATAGTCATTGCAAAATCGTGGTGGAAGACATCGCCTTGTTTCTTGCTTTGTTATAAATACATTCAAGTTTCTTTAAAATGCATTAAACTGATAAAATGCAAACAATCAAATCTCATTATTAAAGCTCTATGACCGTCACTAATGAAAGTAATTCCACCTTTAAGGTTCTCGTACACCGAACACTGGAGTTAGAACAATATACCATGAGGGCTGCACTCCAGTCCATTTTCTGTATGGAACTGTACAGTTTTTTTTAAAATTTCAAAGTCACGTTTGTTAGCGTTAGATAAGCGTTGTGATTACATGAAAAACGCTTTTTTTCTGCATGACTGGAAAGTTACCTTGCTTGACTGAGACAAATCTTTTATTGGCGGCTTGAAAAATGACTTGTGGATGACTCTCCTCGAGATCAAACAGCTCATCTTTTCCAGGCTTGGAGCATCGGCCAGAACGCAGTGTTCCTGTGGGTCCCACTGGGGTCAAATATTTACCATCACAGTCCTTAAAAGCCAACTTGCCCGATTTCAGCTCCAGTGTGAAGCTAGTGTTATTGGTGTTCTCCTTCACCAGTTTCCCATCATTGCTGAGAAAACGGCTGTCGCAGGTCTTTAGGCTGTACTTGCCGTCCAGGTATACCAAGGTGACCAGGGAGTCCACTCCCCAGGGAATGTTGCTGTCCACTGAGATCTCTCCATCCGAAGCAGACAGATGGGCATAACGCTTGCGTGCCACACTGAGCAGGCTGGCCTGTGGGTGTAAGGCCAAATGGACGGCCCACAGCTCTTGTTCCCCAATGACTTGGGCAAAGCAGGACAGGTAGTCAGCTGAGCCTCCAAAGTAACGCAGGAAAGGCTCGGATTGCAGCGCCCAGCGACCATCGGACTGGGGCACAATAAGGAAACGGCATTCAGGGTCAGGCCTCTCCGCCCCACCTGTTATCTTCCCATCTTTGTCAGAGGCCAGGTAGCGTCCCAGGTGGCTGCGGAGGAACACTACTTGGCCATCTTGCTCATCTTGCTCCAAGGTCCAGATCTGTTTCTTCTTCATGCTAATACCTGAGGCGTTCACCTTGAAGCCAAAGGTTTCGGCTGTCAGGTAGCGGTTCTCATAGTTGATGAGGCCAAATTGCAGCTTGAGAGCCCTGTTAATTCCGTTTGTGGGCATGCTTGAACAGGCCGCACGTTACGATTACGAGCAGAGACGTTTACGAAAAGCGAGGGAAAGGGCAATGAGCGAAAGCAGGCATGAGACTGACCAGCAAAAGTAAAGCACCGATTTTTTTCCTTCTTCTGTCTCTCAAGCTGTGAATTAACTCCACTTGTCTCTTCTGATGGATTGTTAGTGCTCCGTCCTCCTCCTGTCACTTTCTCTCTTTCCCCAAAAGGCTTGCACAGGCACTTGCTCTCGGTTCCTTAATGAGTTAGGATTAAAATCAGCAGGACACAGCACCTCAATCCAACAAGCTGCTGACGTCACGTACCAGTGCACCAACTGCAAACCTCCCCTCCTCCCTCTTCTTCTCCAGTACACTGTCAGTGTCAGCTTCATTTCTCTCATTCTATCTTTCACATGTTCCATTTTCTGCCATTCCTTCTTGTTTTCACTCCACCTCTGTCTTCTTCCCTGTAGAACGTACTGACACACTCATTTGTCAACTAAAGTCCTACTGGTTCTCACTCTAATATTTAGGTCCATAGTAGCCATGTTATCCAGCCCAAGGATTATCCTAGCTTTGATCTGCTGGCAAACAACAGTCTAATTGGAAAATGTCCAGAGAGTAAAGGTGCTTTTGGTTGCTCCTCTTCTCTTTTGAAGGGCCTTTTCAAAGAGATTTTTGTCGAAGAAGAATGACATTTACTCGAGGGCAGTTTTTGTAAATATATATGCATTTCAAGAAACATTTTTAAAACATGAATAAGCATTCTGTTGTGTTAAAGACTTCATCAAGAGATTAAAATGGCATTCACAAAGCACCTCTTTTACATTGGGCCAGCATTATTGAGCATGGCTGACTGATTTAGAAGCATGGTCTTAACTCTTGAAGCAGTACAACAGTTTCTTTATGAAAGTTCTCGCAGCATTTTGCCACACACAGGTCAAGAGAAACCGGATATCAACAGCATTCTGACATCAAGCTCTCAGAGATATTTAGATCTGTGAAGTTGATGAGCTCAGTGAAGAGAAATTTGAATAACACACGTCTGAATGTACATTTGCCTTTTCTCAGTGTTGAACCTTGGTCATTCTAATCCTTATTCTTTCTCTGTTGTTCCGTCACTGAATTAATAATAGAGGACCCGACTCTATGCCCCATGACCTTTGTCACAGTGAACGCTAAGATCAACCTTTGTAAGAGCATTACCGACCTCTTTCACAGGTTCCTGAGGATGATGAGGGTAACGTCAAGGAGACCTGGATATTGTGAATACCAAATTTGGCAAAGGGTATGATTTGAACTATAGTACAAAGCAAACACCCTTAAGGTGTTTTTCTACCTAACAGTCTTTTAAAGACAAGTGCTGTCATCTGTCAGCCTTTACAGTTAATGGTGATTAGCATGGTGACCCCAGACCACCATTGGGGTTAACACTCTG